TAAAATTTACATGGAACCACAAGACTCCGAATAGCCAAAGCAATCCTATGCAAAAAGAACAAAGCTGGAGCTGTCATGCTACCTGGCTTCAAAATCAACTATGAAGCTGTAGTAACCACAACAGCATGGTACTGGCATAAAAACAGAAACATAGACCCAGTGGAACAGGACAGAGAATTCAGAAGTAAATCCACACATCTGTGGTCAACTCATTTTCAACAAAGGTGCCAAGAACATACATTGGGGAAAGGAAAGTCTCTTTATTCAGTGGTGCTGGGGAAACTGGATATCCATATGCAGAAGAAAGAAACTAGACCCCTATCTTTCACCATATAAAAAAATGAACTCTAAATGGATTAGAGACTTAAATCTAAGACCCAAAACTTTGACACTACTAGAAGAAAACATTGAGGAAACGCTCCAGGACATTGGTCTGGGCAAAGATTTTTTGAGTAAGACCTCAAAAGCACAGGCAGCAAAAGGAAAAAATGGACGAATGGGATCACGTCAGACTGAAAAGCTTTTGCATGGCAAAGGAAACAAATTACAGAATGAGAGAAAATGTTTACAAACTATCCACCTGACAAGGGATTAATAAAGAATATGTAAGGAACTTAAGAGCAAAAAACAAATCCAAAGAGAAATACCTGAGAATGTTGCAATTCCATTATTATGAAACTACCACTATGGATTATCAACATTTATTAGTTTACCAAAGGGTCTGTTTTTCTAGTTTAAAATGGTCACTTTTTTGACCTTTTCACATTTTCTTCTTTTTCATCACCACCATTAGCAGTTGGTGTTCTTTTGGGAGGACTTTTTTCCCCTAAAAGAAATACGTTATCACACGATAAGAGTGATACAACAAAAGGAAAGTGAACAGTAGTCATTTTGAGATGCTGACACTGCTGTGCTATTAGCCAGACACCTTCACCAGGTAGATGACTCAAGGCCATACAGAGCCGTCTTGAAAGCGTCACTCAAAATCTTGTCTTTGTAAAACTGCCAGAGACCAATAGAGTGGTTTTTTTTTATTCCATTGCTCTTTAGGGACCAAAGCTCCTAAATGACAGAGAAAACGCCCAGTCATCGGTCTGCTACGTATACTGCAATCACAAATTGATTGTCAGTTTGCAAAGGGCCCTAGAGAATTCACTTTTGTCATGTACCAGTGTGAGAGTCCAGCCTCCTTTCAGGGATGATGCTGATGGGAGCTGATGGGCATATGCAGCCAGCTCCCTGATTTTTTACCAAAGTCAGTGGGAGACAAACAGGATTGCACAGACTTTCTAATATTTAGGCTCAGTTTAACCTTTTTATACCTCAATCTTGGTGGCATAAAACCTTCCCTGATCTTTGTGCAAACTAGTTTTGTACTTCTAAATACTATATACTTTTTTTGCGTGGGTTTTTTTTGTTGTTGTTGTTCTAGAATACTTACTATGGTCACCATAGGAAGAACATCAACCGGGGATCAGCTGTGCTCTGCTCAGTCTCTTCCTGTGGGGTCAAGAACACAGACTTTCTGCACTTCCCTCCTCATTTTATCTGTTTCCACATAACATGTTGGCAACATTTTTTCCTTCCCCTGAATTCCTAGACTTCCCACATTATATTTTCATTTCTACCATCTAACCCTGATTATTTGCCTCCTCCAGTACAATGAATTTTCCATTTGATCAAAACAGCCCAGGCAACAAGTAGCTCTCCCCACTCACGTTCCCATCCTGTGCCCTGTTGTGGTTTCAGCTGTGCCGAACCTCTTGCTCCTCTCCAAGCTCCCCATGTTCACGGCCCCTCTGAGCCTTTGCATGTGCTCTTCCACCCTGGCAACCTAACTAAGATCGACTTTCTCCAAGGCTCGTCTTGAGTGCTGCTCCGTCCAGGAAGACTTCCCTGTCACTCCCCACTGGCAGCCTCAGGTGGTCCCTGTGGCCACCGACAGCATCCTTCTTAGGTTATAATTGGCTTTGCACATGTTTGTCTCCTGGAAGAAAGAGTCCATCCAGTCTTTGCTTTCCTGTCCTTGTTTTGGTGCTCAAATATGTTCAGGGGGGGATCCTTAGTTTGCGTTTTATGACACCGAAAGCCTTCTGCCTGAGATGACATTACTAGTGTGGTGTCATTCTGCTTCAGACTGTGCTCAGTAGGGAATATTTCTGCAATAACAGCTTCCCTCTCCCACCCTCCCCTGTTCACTCCTTGATACAATTCATCCTACTAATCCCTAGAAGTAATTCGGGTACAAAGCAGGAGATTTGGCAGGAACTGTCTGTTTTGGAACCTGCCAAGCCAGGAGGGTTTAAGGTGGCTATTAAAGATTTTGCAAATGCCATTTATAGCAGAGAAATAGCAACAGCATTTATCATTTGCTTTCTTGGCTGTAAAACAGTCTCAGCCAAGCCAAAGCTGATTACGTTGGCCATGCAACAAAGGTGATTTATTCATCATACACAAAATCTCCCGTTAACTAAAATCAGAATTTTAAGTGCTGACTGAAAGGAGAGCTGATGTATCTATCAGTGCACAATTACCCTCTAGACCAAACAGGCAGCTCCGCAGAGAGTACTTTTTGTTTTCTTTCCTGAACCTAGTTGTTGTTGTCTCCTGCAGATGTCTAATAATTAACATTCATAGAACATTAACCTATATTTTTTTCCTTCACCACTCCCTTTCTATAATAATTCATATTGTGTGTGGCTGGGTGCTTTATATCTGCTTAAAGTCTTCCCAGTTTTCTGGGTGCCTTTAATTAACAATACCTTTTAAAGCAGATGTTCGGCTGAATCCCTTTCCTGGGAGAATTTTTTTTTTTTTTTTTTTTTTTTGAGACAGAGTCTCACTCTTTTGCCCAGGCTAGAGTGCCATGGCGTCATCCTCGCTCACAGCAACCTCAAACTCCTGGGCTCAAGCAATCCTTCTGCCTCAGCCTCCCGAGTAGCTGGGACTACAGGCATGCACCACCATGCCCGGCTAATTTTTTTTTCTATGTATTTTTAGTTGTCCAATTAATTTCTTTCTATTTTTAGTAGAGATGGGGTCTTGCTCTTGCTCAGGCTGGTTTCGAACTCCTGAGCTCAAACAATCCACCCGCCTCGGCCTCCCAGAGAGCTAGGATTACAGGCGTGAGCCACCGCGCCCGGCCCCTGGGAGAATTTTGATATATTGCGGGAATCAAGAACTCTAGAGAGTTCTTCACATTTCTCTGATTCATAGAAGGGTCTCTCCAGTACCTCTTCCCGAAGCCCCAGTGGCCATCACTCACCATTTTGGTCCACCCAAAACCCCAGACTGTAGACTTTCTGCCTCACTGGTTGTTGGCAACTTACCGTGAATACCAGGCTGCATTCTTCACCCCCACCATCTCCCTGGAGCTGAGCAGACACCAGTGGGCTTTCCGCCCCCCACAGTTAAATCCCCTGACAATTTTCCCTCCCGGCTCACTTGTAAAGGAAATGCTTCAGAGAGGGTTAATTTTGCTTTCTCCATGCCTGTGTCCAGTGTGTGTGTGTGTGATGGTGGTGTGGGAAGAAGGCAATGCTTGTGCTTGGAAATACATACTACAGCTCTTAGTTTTCTTAGCTTGCTAATAGTACAATTCAGATGGATGAAGGGCTGAGAAAACATGGGCCGGCGGGTGCAAAGGAAACATGGCTGTGTTTAAATTGCAAATTTAACAATTGCAAATTAAAGGAAATAGACCACTGATTGGTATTCTCTCACTCACTGTTTCTATTTTTCTCCTCACCCCATCCTTTCTTCCTACCCCCTGACTCCACCTCCTTTCTTTGGGGAAAGTTAGCCTGGTCTTTCTTGGATGTGCGGATCCACGTACCCCTCACAGGGTCCAATTTGATCTGAACAGATGAGGTCCTGGTTTTCCAGTAACTCTGACCCCATTACCTCCCTCTGTCCTCGTCCAAGAAGAAAGCCCCCGTGGGCCCCTCCAGGTGATGGGATGTGCTGTCGCTGTCCCCAGACCCTTAATTATTTTGCTCACTGTACTCTCAGTAGCTAAATTCTTTTTCACCTCAGAATTTGAAGAGGTAAAGAAATCTAATTTCCTCAGGGAATCTTTGAGGGGAAGAATTTCCATAGGCCGATAGAGAAATGTTCAGTGCGTGGGTGTGTGTGTAGACCCAGAAACCTTTCAGTTTCACACGCTGACCATAGGGGTGACCACCCATTTGGCCTGGAAGGACTCGTGGTCGCTGAGAGGTCTGTTTTCTCTCTGAATGTCTCGTTCTTGTCCTTAAAAGACATATTCTCTAGGGGTTTGTCATACATTTTCAGTCAGTGGTGGCTGACTCTCCTTGTTTCTCAGGGAGGAAGATGAGTACTCGGAGCTACGATCAGAACTCAGCCAGAGTCAGCACGAGGCCAACGAGGACTCTCGAAGCATGGACCAAGACCAGACCTCCGTCTCCAATCCCGAAAACCAGTCCACCATGGTCACCGCCGACGTGGGTGAGTCTGCCTGCCGTTGCCACCGAGCCAGAGTTTGGTTTCTGGGTTGTAATGGGAATAGGCAGCCTGAATTAAAATTTGATTACCCACGGAGTTGTGCAAGTGGACGAAGGCACGTCCATTTCGGTCCCTTACGAGCTACTTTGTTGGTCAAAGTGGAACTGAAGAGCTGAATTAGCTTTCTGAAAATTCTGGAAGCAGGGAACCAGGTAAAAGCTATCGCAATGTTCCAAGCTACAGCAATATCCGAACTGTGATGGTGGAAATGGAAAGGATGGGCTGGGGCAGTGCACTGCAATGGAAGAACCCCAGTAGGTTTTAGCAGCTATTTGGGTTGGGTAAGAAGGAGGAATCCACAATGACTCCAGCATGTTGCTCCTAAGTGACTAAGAGAATGACTGTATTCCTTAGTAAGGAAGCTTGGTTGAGAAATGAGTTGGGAAATAGTCACATTATGTTTGAAGTTATGGAGCAATATCCATGTGGAAATATCTGGTACAGTGTATTTTAAACTGCAGGTCATGACCCACTAATGGTCTTAGAATTATATGAAAAATATGTTTTAAATGAAAGCAGGCCAGGTGTGGTGGCCCACACCCATAATCCCAACACTTTGGGAGGCAGAGACAGGAGGATCCCTTGAGACCAGGAGTTCGAGACCAGCCTGGGTAACATGGCTAGACCCCGTCTCTGCAAAAAAAAAAAATTAGCCAGGTATGGTAGCACATGCTTGTAGTCGTAGCCACTTGGAAGGCTGAGGCAGGAGGATCACTTGAGGCCTGGAGTTTAAGCTATGATCTGATTAGGCCACTGCACTCCAGCCTGTGGGACAGAGTGAGACTTCCTCTCTTTAAAAACCAAAAAAAAAAAAAAAACCAAGTAAACAATAGAGTGACAATATTGTTTCATGAAACTTGTTTGTTGCCTGTGTATGTAGGTAGTAAGTTGCCAAATGAAACTTCTAACTGTGGATTGCAGTCACAATGTTGCAAAACCACTAGTCTTACCTACCTGGATATTTGGGGAGAGGCTGAGGTTGAGGTTAGAGGCTTTGAAGTTACCTGAACTAAGGTGATCCCTGTGGTTGAAAGGGTGTGGCATCCAAAGGGTGAGGAGCACCGTGTCTTATCCTCACGTGTATAGGAGAGATGGAAGAGAACCAGGAGAAAGAAGAGGTGTGAGGGGGAGGCTGGGGAAGTAGGCAGGAGCCCGATCACGCAGGGTCTTGGAGACCATGTTAGAGACTATGTTTGGCCTTATCCAAAGATCCATAAGAAGCTACTGAAGATTTGAATAGCGGGGGAAGAGGATCAGATGATCAGATTTGCATTTTGAATCAATCACTCTGTGGTGGGGAGAAAGAATCCCTAGAGACCAAGAGTGAGCCGGGAGGCTAGCTAGGAAACTGTTGCAAAAGTCTAGGTAGGCAGAATCGTTGCCAGGATTAGGGTGGCGGCAGTTCAGCTGTAGAAAAGGTATAAAATCAGTGAGATTTGCTGAAGGATTGGAAGCAGAGGGTGGAGGCAGAGTGGCATGCGTGTCCCAGACGAGTTTGGTTTGCACAATAGATGGACAGTGGGGTCACTTGCCAATATGGGAGCATAGGAAAAAGGAGCAGGTGGTTTTGCCTGGAGCTTTGTTTTGCTTGGGGCGGGAAGGATGGATGGAGATCATGTGTTTTGTTTGTCCATGGGTTTGCGGTGTCTTGAGATAGCTGGGTGGAGGTGCTTCAGGAGGCAGTGTGTGTTCAGGTAAGAAGCCAAGACGAGAGGCTGGGCAGAAGGAAAGCTGCTGGGAGAGCTCAGGGTGTTCACAGACGGTAGCTGAAGCAGTGGGGGGAAGTTGATGCGCAGAGAGTGAGGAGGGGAGAGAGCCCCCGAGACCAAGCCTGGGGACCACCAGCTGGGGAGCAGGCTTGGCAGGAGCTCGTGGCATGGAGCGCTCCTCAGTTCAGTCTCGGGTTAAATGAGGCTCTTCAAAAAGCCTTCTCAGAGCTCCAGTTTGTACACATCCCTGTGTGTACACATGTTTGTACACATCCCTGTGGACTCTGGCACCGCCCCATTCCTTTCTTCCTCCTGTCACACGACGTTCTAAATTACGCATTTGTATTTATTTGCTTGCCCGACTCTCCCACCAGACTCCACCGGGCAGAAGCATGTTTGTCTCATCTCTAGTATCTCTCGAGGGCCCCTCCCAGGGCCGGCACACTGCATGCTCCAAACGGTTTGTGGAACGAGAGAATGAATGAAGTAATCAACCAATCCAACTACCTGGCCAAAGATACAGGAAGAAAAGAAAGGAGAATGGTGTCCTGAAAGCCAGCGGGGCAGAGGAGGCTGTAATGAGGAAGAAGTGGTCGGCAGCTGGATGGCTGCTAAGGCCAAGTGAGATGGATTTAGCTGCGTCAGAGTCATTGAGAGGTCTATACTGATAGCAGCTTAAGCCAGATGCAAACGAATGGGGGAGCGAAGACACCTCCCCAGGCTGAAACTGCCTCCCTCAAACTAACCTGAACCCAGACACTGGGCTTTATGTTACAAGAGACACAACCCCCTGCGACCAGCCTCTCCGTAAGCCAAGGCCGTGCGTGCTGGGTTCATGCCAGCATCGTACATCTCTCACCCCAGCACCCCAAACTTCAGGACTCTCCCAGCCAGACAGATTCAAGCAGCCAAGAAATTCCTAATCACTGCAAAGGTCAGCCCTACACTGGTCCCTTCATTTGTTTCAAATTGTATTTTACGAAATTAGTAAGTGACCCACACTCCAACAAAGTTTCATGATTAAATAAGCTTGGGAAACGCAGGGGCAAACCACTTCCATGGCATCTTTCCTGGGGGACTTGCCAGAGCCCCCGACACGACGCAGCGTCTGCAGCGCAGGCCTCACTCGGAGCCGGTGCCCGCTGTCTGCCGTGGGGCCTCTTCATTTTCCTGGGTCATTCAGTTCAAATCCTTTCTTTCCATCCTGGCCCTCGTTAAAAAAAAATATGGGTTAATTGGGACCGGTCCCCTTTCCTGACAAGGCTGAGCCCCTGGAGGGGAGCCCCCTGCCAGTGTGGGCGCACGCTCTCCCACGCACGGAGCCTTCGCGCACTTGCTCCACAAACTCGCCGGGTGCTGTGCCAGGTCCTGGGGACGTACGGCATGGAAGCTGCCGACAGACGGACAGACTCCCAGGCTCAAACCCCTCAAGCCTACAGTGACCTCCGCACTCCGTACCCAGGCGCTCCTCTAGGGCCCCACCGCACCTGGAGCTCCCTCCGCTTCCCCCTACTCTCCCTGTTTCTTCCAGTCCCGGCCACACTGGCTGCCTGGCTTGCCTGCCTGGCTTGCCTGCCTGGCTTGCCATTCCTCCTGCCTCAGGGCTCTGCGCTGGCTGTTCCTTCCGCCCGGAATGCCCCTTCCTCAGATCCACACAGGCTCCCCCCCACCCCCCCGCCCCCGACATCGCCTCCTCAGAGCCCCCGGACCCCGTCTCCAGTGCTCACACAGTCACTCGCTTCCCTTTCCCTGTTTTCCTGGATGGCACTTAGCACTACCCGAGGATACGCTGCATTCGTACTCATTTCTGTAAGTACCGTCAGGCTTTGTGTGGCTCTGACGCTAGCGTGCAGGCTGCTTAGGGGCAGGGACTTCGGTTACCTGGTTTACCGGCATAGCAGTGGCTGCACGTAGGAGGCGCTCGGGCACCTGAGTAGCAGTGAGCACCATCCTGGAGCTCAACGTTCTTGGGAGGGTGCACAGAGGCCCCCACGGCAGTCGGCACAGCTGGGTCAGGCCCAGGCAGGAGGCCCGCAGGGGCCCCTTGTGGTAACCTCAGGCAGGAGCAGGGAGAGCACCTCCCAGGAGTCGCCCCTGAGCAGGAATCGGAGGGCTAGGTGAAAGAGGAACGTGCTCTGGGCAGAGGCAGGTCTGCCAGGTCCCCGAGGAGGGAGGCACTTGGGGACAACAAGGAGGAGGTCATTCAGGCTGCTCACACAGAACAGTCAGTGTGTTTGTTCATCGGAACTGGCCGCCTGCCTCTTCTTATTCCTTTGCCATTTTCCAATTAAATTGCTTCAAAAGGGAAAAAAGCTCCCATATATAAACACCATTATAGGAAATCATTAAAAAGTACCCACTTCATTATGGTTGCTATATTTGCAAACCTGCATTAGTAACCCAGAGGTTTTCTTGAGCTGGATTTTTTTCCTTAAGCTGCAGAATTTGCTGCAATATATTTCCTGATCTTCAAAGATCACAGGAGTAAATCCAGCCTAATCACATCATCAAAAAGCACTTTTCTTTTGTTTTCAAACCCCACCCGTCAGAGCCTGGCGGCCCTTCAGTAAGCTGGTCCAGGAACCAGGACGCTGTCCTCTGGGCATGGAGGAGTATAATGAACAATTTAGAAAGTGCTGTGACTTACCTAAGCAGTCGAATAAAGGAGAAAGGCCTGGCTTCTGTCAGCATCTTGAAATTAATCACACTACCTCTTTTCAAACCTGGTCACAGAATTGTTTAGAAAATAAAGGTAATTAAACAGACAAAGCCAAGGTAAGAATCCATGACTTAGAATTTTTATCCCCTCAATCTGACAATAAGTTGGGTTAAAAGAGAGGTTGAATATAGCAGCTAACGTGCTTTGCTCACTTACTCTGTGTCAGGAATTTACATGCTTCTCTCGTGTTTAGTTGCCAACCTTGAAGGAGGCCCAGGAGGTCTCCTCATCTGTAAAATCAGGACGACAAAGTTCAAAGAGGTTAAGTCACTTGTCCAAAGACACACAGCAAAAAAGTTTTTGTTGTTGCCGCCTGTGCTTCTGTAGATGGCTTCCCTTTTACAAAAACTCCTGTGTTTAAGTAGTAAAGCATGCCTTGGCTGATGTGGTACTCGTACTACAATCCTTGGAGGTCTCTAATGCTGATGGGGGAGTTAGGGAGCAGCTGTGTGATCACAAGCACCTGGCTTAATAGCAGAGCATTTGTAATTAAATGAGATTTTGCAGCTCTTCAT